CCCCCCCCCCCCCCCCCCCCCCCCGTCTTGTCATGACATCTGACAAGCTGTCTGTCTCCAGATGTGAGTGACAAAATTCTTGGCATAGCTTTGAAATGCAGCACATACTGCAGTAGTACTCTGACACACACACACACGCAGTCCTGTTTGATTGTGTTCCAAATGTTGCTTTAATAGGTGAGAAAAACAAAGTGTGGGAACGCTGCCTCTGCGTGGTTCTCCAGAGCCTGGTGAACAGTAGGACCTTTGTGCCGGAGCAGGGCTCTCGCTGTCAGAGGACCTAATTCAGCTAATGATCAGGACAGAGCTAACAAGCTGCATGAAACGGATACAGAGCAGAGGGCAGACACTGTACGCACTCATCTGATCCCCAACCATCCAACATCCATGAAGCAGATGGATTCCTGTCCTCGACCTTATCTGTGTACTTGTTCTTTAACGTTTTCACGGCTTTTCTGGCTGTAATGCAGTAAAATGGATGGATGGACAAATCTGGAAAATGTTCGGCAAGATAATAATACAACGTTCAAGGATTCAAGGATCTTTTATTGTCATTATGCAACACGGGGATGCACAACCAAATGCAGTTGTAGCCCATTTTCAAGAAACACATGACAAACAAAACAAAACCAGTTTTACATTCCTGTAGAACATCTTTTATATTTTCATCATAAGGAACGTAAACGGCAGCAACAGAAACAATTCTCTGATCAGATAATGTGGCCGACATCTTCACATTCAAAACTCAACATGAGGAAAACATCGTCCATCAACTGTGACTGTGTTTACATCATGATGCTTGGTGCTTAAACTCAGAGTCCTCCGGAGTCCTGTGGTTCGTCCATCAAGTGCAGCTTGATCCGGGTCCACGATGGATCCAGGTCTCTGTGAAGATGTGGGCTCAACAGTCACCGAACTCCAGCTGCTTTCATCCATCTTATTTTCAGACAGCCAGGAGCATGCTGGGTAGTGGAGCAGCCTCAGGTCCTGCTGGGTTAGCTCAGCTTCCATCTCGGCTCTCCTCCCTGAGGCTGTTTGGTGGTGTTTGGTCCAGCAGGTCTGATTAGGTGTCACGTACAGAGTGTAAACACTGTCAATGTACAGAGTGTAAACACTGTTCATGTACAGAGCGTAAACACTGTTCATGTACAGAGCGTAGCCGCTGTCAACGTACAGAGCGTAGCCGCTGTCAACGTACAGACCGTAGACACTAGGGCTGTGAAGGAGGGTCCCCTGCAGTGATGATGGTTGGCTCAATACAGTTACAATACCATGAATCATCAAAAATAAATAGCAAGACATCATTTTAAAAACAGACAAACTGTGTACAGAAGCCTGCTGTTCAGTCCAAGTTCTTTTTCAAACTTCGTTTCGGTGTTTCACTATGGGGAATCGCCTCGGGGTGACCAACTATGGAAGCTCCAATGACACCACGTCTGTCAGTGACAGACAGGTCGGCTGTGAGAGGGCCCCGCCCCTACCTATTATTACAGCCGGCTGCCTCCTCGCAAATCATTCTCGCTTTCTTCCCGTGAAGAAACTATAGCTCCCTCGGCGCATCTAGGCTAGCTTGGATTGCTGCTCGACAGTTCACAGACGACCCGTTAGGAATCCGTCGCCGAACGCAGCTCCGGGCTTCAGTCGGGAGTGTGCTGAGTAAGTTCTTCGGAGAAGTATAATTAAAACACAGAATATTTCGAGCAGTGTCCGCGTCAAGGCGAGCTGTTCCCCGACTACCCGGTATCTGTTACCGGTGTGGTCGGTGACTGTGTGACAGTATTTGCGGTGGCTAACGCGTTACGGCGAGCACCAGTGTTCGGTTAGCATTAGCTTGGTAGCCGAGCGGAGTACCCGGAGTTCAGCTAACGTGTCACGGCGAGCGAACTCCTTCGATAAGCTATTGACCCGGGCTAAACCCCGTGTGCCAGCACAATTGGCCGACAGGCTAACGCATTTCGGTGCGCCCTGTACGGCTGATTATTTACGTATTTCCCTCCCTTTCCAGTCGCCATGTCGAAGGCCGCTACCCCCACCAGAGGGTCGGAACCGAAGACCAAAGAGGCTGTATCCCGCCCGTGCCCTGCGTCATGCGGGGCGTCCATCTCGGGCAGGGACCCTCATCCTTTGTGCATAGCTTGCATGGGCGCGAAACACGCTCATGCAGCGCTGGCTGACCCCCAGGCATGTTTGCACTGTGCGTCAATGCCAGAGAAGACCCTGGAAAGGAGATTGAGAGTGGTGGTATCCAACAAACAGGACCTGGTCCTGTCAGGAACCACCACAAAAGACACCCATCTGCCGCGAGCTCCTTCAAGCTGGGCGGACATGATGGATGCTGAATGCAGGGAAATGCCTCCACTTTTCGAGGGGCTCCTCGATGTGGAGCCGGGCTGTGAGGACGCAGAGGGCGATGCCAACTCTGACTTCCTCGAAATGGATGATACGGAGGAGGAGGAGGATGACTCCACTTTTCCTCTCCAACAGCCCAGACCCCCTAGTGCATCCGACGCTGTTTCCCCGATGGACAGCGACTTATACGAGGTCTGCAAACGGGCCGCGTCCAAGTTGGACATACTATGGCCAGCAGCCCCGGATGCTACAGGGGGGGAGAGAGACCTGTATGACGGTAAGAGGCTCCCACCAGCCCAGCCGCCATCGAAACAACTTCTGCCGGCAGTACCCGCTTGTATGAATTAAATGAGCAGGTCCTGGTCCAGCCCGTTGAAGAGTAAGCTTCCCACGAGGGGCTACTCAAAGCTGGAAGTCGAGGGGAAGGAGGGACTGGGGCTGGCTGAGCCCCCAGCAGTGGCGCCTTCAGTGGCTTATCACCTCCACCCAAACCGGCGCTCTCTCTCCGCTTCCTCAAACATCTCTCTGCCAAATAAAACAGATCGCCTCACAGCCTCTGTTTTCCAGAGAGTGTATAAATATGCGGCGCAGTCTGTGTGCTCGCTAAATGCTTTGACTCTGCTATCTGCATACCAGGCAGAAATCCTGGAGCAGATGGGCGGTCGGCTGCACACAGGGGCACCTAACCCGACCCTATGGGATGAGATTTGTGTTGTTAACGATCTCATCCTACGCTCATCACGGGGTGCAGTGCAGGGCTGCGGTCGTGTAATGGGCCTGGCAGTCTCAGGTGAGAGAGATCTGTGGCTAAATCTCTCAGGCCTCGGGGATGCTCAGAAGGCAGAGGTCATGGATGCGGCATATGACCCAGCCAAAGGTCTGTTTGGTCCAGCTCTTGAAAAGATGAGAGAGACCAGCACCCTCAGAAAACAAGAAGGTGAGGCCTTTGACCTCTGCTTGCCTCGGAGACACATCCCTCGCGCTCCACAGACACAGAGGGCGGGCTCTGCGGCTACAGCCACAGCAACGAGGTGGAGACAGGAGGGTGCCAGACCGTATAGACAGGCAGCTGGTC